CCCGCTGTATCCCTAAGAGCCGGCTGTGTGACGGCCACCCAGATTGTTCTGACAGGAAAGATGAACAAGGGTGCGGTAAGTGCCATGTGACTGACTCCCTTGGAGAGTTTCAAAATGCCTGACAGTCGATTCTCCTTATCCGTGGCAGTTATATTCTATAAAGCTGCCACAAATACATCATTGCTCATAGAAAAAAATGCAGGGTAAGGTTTCGGAGAATCTCTTGCGATAGTATTTTTGTCAACCAATCCATATGTAACCTCAATTTAGGTATATTGCTGTTTAGAGGCCACTTGATACATATTGTTGACTCGTTAACATTGGAGTCAGAGCCGACAGCATTATAACTTGGCGCCTGAGCATAGCTTAGTGCACACAGGTGTTTTCTCTGTAAGGCATATCATGGACTTCTTGCACTCAGAATGCTTGACAGCTTTTCTGCACTGCACTTGGGAGCTTGGTTCAACAGCAAAATCACCAAAAAGTATAAAAATGGGGAAGTATGACCCTAAACAGACTGCAGAAAGGACACTTGTTTCCAGTGTAAGGACCGAAACAAGAAGGCAGAGCCTTGCCTTGTTTGATCCCAACTGGAAACATGTGTTAGGCAACGTAGATGTTTTCATGCTTTGTATATGTGCATCTTTTTTTTTTTTAAGTTTATTCATTTATTTTGAGAGAAGCAGAGATCGTGTTGAGTGGGGAAGGGTCAGAGAAGAGGGAGAGAAACTCCCAACCAGGTCAGTGCAGAGCCCGATGCTGGTGTTACGCCCACGAAACCTCGAGAAAATGACCTGAGCCAAAACCAAGAGTTGGACACGTAACTGACTGAGCCAGCCAGGCGTCCCATGTATGTGTATCTTCAGATGACCGTGAAAGTGTGGGAGCACAGATTTAGGGGAGGTGTTACAAATTTTGGCAAGTAGGTGAATGTGCAAATAATAAATCTGCAAATAACAAAGACAGATTGTACTTACCGCGAAGTTAACAGACTAGGACGGAAGGTTCCGAGCTGGAGGGACGTTGGCAATCCTGCCACAGCACTCCCCTCTCCGTAACAACATTCCCATGAGTGGAAGACCCGTTTACTTGACCACACTTTTCTTGAGCTAGAATCTACCTCCTTGAAGATTTTAATTTTGATCCTAGGTCTTCTCATGTGACAGGCTATCCTCATCTGTAGGTGTTATTGCTTTTCCCTCCTTTTTTGTGGGATACACAGTCTTGCTTTTTAGTCTTCCCAGTGACTTGTTCCAAAAACCTTGATTGTGGGAATAGGGTAGAAGAGAGATTTGGGAGAATTGAAGTGGGCAGAAGAGGAAGCTGTTTGAGGTACTGTAATCGATTTGAATGTGGAGGTACTAGGTAGCCAGATGATATGACTATACTTGTGCTTATGAGAAGAACATCAGGAGGAGGAAGCCAAGGTATAATTTACTTTTCAATGCATATTTACTCTTTCTCCCAAGACCTGATCTTTTTTCTTGAACCAAGTCAAGCAACTTCTATCTGTAGGAACGGAGTCCAAGCGCATCACATGAAGGTATGTTGGATGTTGTTAGGGACTTTCTCTTTTCACCAAGGACATTAAGGTCCTGGGGCAGAGTCCTACTCCCCAGCCTATCTCGGTGTCCTTCTCCTTGTCTCCATCTCTGTCCCCTAGCCCTCATTCTCCAAGACAGGATTTTTCTGGGCTAACTTAGTAGGCCTTTTCTGACCTAACACTGCTCGAACCATCTTTGAGGGCTGGGGTTGAGTTCCCAAGGTGACAGCAGAAGACTGAGGAGCCTTCAGACCATTTCTTTTGCCATCAAACTGTGTCCACATCTGGCTGAGTTCTTACCTAAATTTCTCTTTTCCAGTTGGTGCCCAATGCAGCACAGCTGAATTTTGATGCAAGAGCAGCCAGTGCATATCTAATATTCTGCGCTGTGATGGGAATCAAGACTGCCTGGACCACTCGGACGAAGAGGGCTGTCCTGTTGCCTGGCCTCCACAGTGCCCGTCAGGGGAGGTGAGGTGCGGGAGGAGTGGAGAGTGTGTGTCAGCAGATTGGCTATGTGACCATGACGTGGACTGCGAAGATGGAACCGACGAGAAGGTAGTGGACCCTTCTTCAGAAAACAGATTGATTACTTGGGGCACCTGTGTGGCTCAGTCGGTTAAACATAAAACTCTTAATTTTGGCTCAGCCCGTGATCTCATGGTTTGTGAGATCGAGCCCCATGTTGGGCTTTGTGCCAACAGGGTGGAGCCTGCTTTGGATTCTCTTTCCCTCTGCCACCCACCCCCAAAATAAATATTTAAAAAAAAACTTAGGGATGCCTGGGTGGCTCAGTTGGTTAAGTATCCGACTTCGGCTCAGGTCATGATCTCATGGTTCATGGGTTCGAGCCCTGCATCAGGCTCTGTGCTGACATCTCAGAGCCTGGAGCCTGTTTCAGATTCCATGTCTTCCTCCCTTTCTGCCTTTTCCCTGCTCATGCTGTCTCTGTCTCTCTCTCTTTCTCAAAAATAGATAAGATTTAAAAAATTAAAAAAACAAAAGAAAACAACTTAGAAGAGCAGCTTTCTCTTTACAACAGGAACATGTGCTTCCCTGTAGCAAACTTGAGAAAATATAAGAACAGAGAAGGCTCTCATCCTTCCTGCCCAGGAAGCCATCGTAACTACATCGAAGTGTCCAAATTGAGAAGATCTCTTGTGGAAAAACGTTTAAGAGGTTTTTAATGTAGGTTTGCAAGTGTTAGGTCTTGATGTCTGTGGCTCAAGTGTCCCACTCAGAGATCGGCTCTGAAGCCCCACCCACCTGTCACCATGGACGGCACGGAAGCTGCCACATTGCATGTGAGGTGCAGCTTGGCTTGAATCCTACAGTGTGCCTTTGACCTTAAGAAAGTACTTACTCCTGAACGTTCTATTTCCTCATCTGTCAGTGGGTGGAAGATATGGCTCCTAGTGCCCGAGGGGCTGACACATCTAAAGGTTCAGGGCTATAGCAGGTGTACTGAAGTCCCCTCCCCTCCTTCAGTGCATCCTGTCCCATATCTGAGTGTTCAAGTCAGATTAGGTGCATATTGGTGCTATAACTTTTAACGTGCTAGGGTGTGGTTTTGAAATGGTAAAAGAATTCTAAGGAGTTTCTAGAGCACATTCTTCTGTTTCTTTTTTTTTTACTTAAAAAGTTTTAATGTTTATTTATATTTGAGAGAGAAAGCGAGACCGAGCACAAGCGGGGGAGGGGCAGAGAGAGAAGGAGACATAATCCGAAGCAGGCTCCAGGCTCTGAGCTGTCAGCACAGAGCCCGACATGGGGCACAAATTCATGAACCACGAGATTATGACAGGAACCAAAGTTGGACACTTAACTGACTGAGCCACCCAGGCGCCCCAACCATTCTTATGTTTCTTAAATGAAGACCTTTCTTCCCGCTTTGCACCCAGGTTCAATTTTCCTAAAACTCCTTGCCCAAACTCTGGCTACTGAAAGCATTTGCCTGAGTTTTGGGGCTTTCTCTGGCTCACTGCAGAGGGTACTTGAGCGTTTCCTTGTAACCCCGGCCTGGTCTCCCTCTGAGAACCCCTTCCTGGGCTCCGAATGCAGGTGTCGCTGATGGAGCCACTGTCTCCTCAGGACTGTGGCCCCCAGAAGCTTCTCTGTGGCTCCGGGCAGTGGTCCTGTGGCAGCGGAGAGCGGTGCGTGCCTGACGCGTGGCGCTGTGACGGGCAGAGAGACTGCGGGGACGGCAGTGACGAGGCCGGGTGTAAGTACAGGGGCTGTCGCTGAGGGGAGGCGGCCTTGGGGGCACCGGAGTGAGAGGCCAGCTGGCCCGGCAAGCACGAGACATCCATCCCCTTCCCAGAATGGAGGCGTCCAGATCGCACATCCTTGCTGTGGGCGAGGTGTCGGGGGGTTGGGGGCAGACTGTGAAAGTAGAAAGTCCTCCTCTCCAGGCCCCCCCCAGAAATGCCTAAGTTCTGAGTTCCAGTGTGGTTCCCGTGCCTGCCTCGACCTCCGCCTCGTGTGTGATGGGAAGGAGCACTGTTCCGACGGCTCCGACGAAGGCGGCCAGTGTGCGCGGTCAGCCTGCAGCCAAGCGCGGTGCTCCCACGCCTGCCACCCGTCCCCACGCGGGCCCGTGAGTTCATGCAGCTGCTGTTCCCCAGTAGCCATAGGCTGGGTTTATCGAAATGGGTCATCTTACTCATCTGCGGCCGTCACTGGTTGCTCCTAAAACTCCAAGTGTCACAAGGCAGAGCTGCCTGATCCATCTTCTGATGTCCCCTGAGTCCTTCCCCGCTCCTGGTCAATCCTGTCAAGCTCCTTCCCTGTGTCTGTCTCCTGGGACCTCAGCCCCCAGCCCCCAGAAACTACTGCCTGTGAGCTGTGAGCTCTGGGTGACACGTGGGACTGAGCCAGAAGTTTTGAAGGAAGTCCCTTCCATATGTATATTTGTGTATATTTGGATGTGACTTGCCCTTAAATTGAGGACAGCCACAGCCTGTGCTCTGGTCTGGCATTATGTGTTGGCTGAGCTTCATGAACTTGATCGGCTCTGATGGGCAAGTAGAAGAAAATGGTATTCTGATGTCCGATCATAGTAACGTCTCTATAGGCAGTCAGTTAAGTCTCCATGCCTCCTACCAACTCTGCTGGGGTTCCAGGGTGTCCTGGACTGAACTCGGACCCCTTTGTTAATTCAGGAACCATGTGGTGGCAGGGTGTGAGGTGTATGGCAAGGTTGATAAGACAGAGAAATGACTCTATTTAAAATGAAGTTGGTTCTGGGGCACCTGAGTGGCTCAGTTGGTTAAGCAATGGACTCTTGATTTCGGCTCTGGTCGTGATCTCACGGTTTGTGAGATCGAGCCCCACATTGGGCTCTGTGCTGACTGTGTGGAGCCTGCTTGGGATTCCCTCTCTCTGCCCCTCCCCAGCTCATATTCTCTCTCTCTCGAAAATAAATAAACATTAAAACAGTTTTAAGTGAAGTTGGTTCTAAGAACTTTTTTGCTTTGAGCTGTTAAATGGAGTGTATTGCCATGTGCTTTTAATACCAAGATGAGGCCTTTTCATCAATGTTACGGATCAACATCTTGATTGTTCAGGTGTGTGCTTGTGAGCAAGGTTTTGAGCTGGAGAGTGGCGGCCACGCCTGCAGGGATGTGGATGAGTGCCAGAGGCCAGGCGGCCAGCCTTGCAGTCAGACCTGTGTCAACACCGACGGCTCCTACGGCTGCACCTGTCACCCTGGCTACTCGCTGGAGCCTGATGGCCACACGTGCAAAGCAACAGGTAAACTGGAGCCCAGATGTCTCCTCTGCCCCAGATCAGGAGTGCTGAGGTTCTAAATCTTCCAGGAATACAGATGCAAATCTTCTTTCTCAAGTCCTAAATGTCCCCACCCGCTTTCTGTCTGCAGAGCAGGGCTAGCACAGCCCGCACGCCCCCTTTTTACATATAGCGGTTCCGGTTGGGTCAGAGCCTGAAGGTGTCTACGGATTAGCATCCTCGCAACGGAGCCACAACTCCAGCCTCTGTAGCCGCCCATCAGCCTCACCCAAAGTTAGAACGAGTGTCAAATGTCCCCACTTTGTTCCTGCCCACCTATGCCCAAATCCCTAGCTAGAAATACCGTTTTCAGTTTACGCTTGTCATGCCTTTCTCCTGAGTATCTTTGAACTGTGGGTATTAGCTCAAGCTTAAGAACATGGAGGGGAGAGCTACTCACACACCAGCAGGCTCGTGTCCCAGCCCTGGCAGTGAGAAGGCGAAGACAACTTTGTTCTCTTACTCCTTAGTCTGTGCTGGGCTCAGCGATCAAACTCCTTAAGGCCAGGCTGAAAGCGGCTCTAATTTGGCAGGTACCGAACCAATCTTGCTTGTGGCAATTCAGTTCCGCCTACTCCTCTATGGCTTGAGGAGCTTGAAGGAAGATATCCTGGCAACCATGGACAAGAACGTGATGATTTCATCGATTGACTATGACTTAGTGGAGCAGAAAGTCTTCTGGACAGACCTCCGTGAAGAAAGTATTAAATGGATAAGTATGGACACCAAGAAGAAAGGGACCGTGGTGAAAGGTATGTCCCCTTGTGCAGACTACATCCTGCCCTCGTGGATTACACATAGCATGAAAAAGAAAATGAGTGGCTGTTAACATTCTCAACACTGATTCCATTAAATCTTCTTCACTAAGATCAAAGCCAGCTAATTGGCTGGAAATGGAAAGATGTGTTGTCACCCCAGAAGACAGAGGGGGCCAAACCATCAGCCAGTGGTCCTTATTTCTAATGGTCATCTTCCTCCCTGAGTAGAACTTGGCAGTATTTTAAAGATTGCTTGATGGGGATGCATGTACCAGTAGGAAAATGAATGAACATGACATTCAAGTCTGATGCTTATGAGCCAACACCTAATAAAGGCTGTAATTTAACCCAGATTCACACGTTGAATGGCTTCCTCTCTTCAGGTATAAGGTCAGACTGTATAGTGGTCGACTGGATCGGGAGGAATCTGTACTGGGTGGATGGGACAGCTGGCCAGATTTTGGCAATCCAGCTGACTGCTGTTTGGAGAGGAAAATCTGAGCACACGGTTGTCCTGGATGATGACGTGACACAACCACGGGCTTTGGCTTTAGATCCCCTAAATGGGTGAGTCCTGGGGTCATGATGCCAGTGAGGCCCTTTAGGTTTGTTATTCCTCTTTAGTTCTACCTTGGTTGTGTTCACCCAACACAGAATGAGGGAGTAAAAACCTATCTGACTTGACTTTAGATCTTCTGGTGATGTGGGTCAACCATACACATAGTAATCGTAAAAGTTTCTGGCAAAAGTTGTTTATTTCAGTGAAGTGAGATATAGGAGTGCTCACTTGCTGGCCCACCTATACTTTCTTCTGCTAAAATAATCCTCCATTTAGAGGTATATTTTTTTTATGGCTTTCAATGGCAGGAAGAAGGAGAACAGAACAAGGGATAGTATTTAATTTACACTAATGTGCTTGGTATTAGTGGGGGAAATAATTGTGTGTTGGGCTTGAGTCCAGGTTATTCCATCCAGAGTCCCTTCTCTGTGGAAAGGGCCAAGAACTTAGAGACCATGTTTCCTAGCTGTAAGAGCCACACCTCCATTGGGGTGGCCATGTGGGTATCAAATGTAAGAACAAGATAGAGCAAAATTTGTGATCCGAAGATGACCCATATTGGGTACCCTCTGCTTTTCCCACCCTTTCAACACCTCCAACCAGGAATCTGTTAACATGGTCCTCAGGAAACTGGCAATAGTTCCTGATGCATCTAATGGCTTTGATTGTGACTATAAATAAGGTCCAAGGCACACATCTTCCCATAGAACTAGCCTGCTTTCTCGCCCAGAGAAGATCGTCAGGTTCCTTGGCTATTTTCCAGGCCCAGGAGCTAATGTATTCCTTGTCTTCTTCTATCACTGTTGTGATATTTTATCCCCAACTAATGACTAAACAAGCACTGCAAAATTTCCAGGGAACCTTTCTTTTACCACTTCACAGCTTTACTTAAGGAATAGACCAAGTTTGAGGGAAAAAACTAATCATTGGGCTAGAAATCACCGTTTTAAGGGATGAATCGCTATTTTCTGTGAGGTAATACTTTAAAGCTGACTTTCATCTCCATAGGTTAATGTACTGGTCCGAAGTTGGAGGAGAACCTCAAATAGAACAAGCCGGGATGGATGGAAGCAGCAGAAAAGTACTTGTCGATCAAGGTCTTGGCTTGCCAACCAGCATAGCGCTCGACCAGTTGAGTTGGAAGATCTTCTGGTCCGATGAGAAATTTCACTGCATTGGCTCTGCGAATCTAGATGGTACCGGTATTACTGTAAGTGTTCCTTGGTGTTAGGCTGTATGTTATGTCTTATGCCTTGTATAAAATTCATCCAGAAATCTCATCACCACCATTTTAGATGCTGCAGCTAACACAAATCAAGAGCCCCTTTGCGGTCGCTGTGTTTGAAGATGCAATCTTCTGGTCTGATACGAAGACGAGAACGGTGCAGCGCGTGAAGAAGACGACAGGCAAGAACAGGGCTGTCCTCATCAAGCGTTCTGAACAGCCTTGTGGACTCAAGGTCTACAGTGTACTCTTCCAAATTTCCCCCTCCGTCTCCCTAAAAAGGCCATATGTATGAACTTCCCAAGTACAAACTAGTGACATCCTCTGTCATGATTTAAAAGCAAGATGTATTCATGAGCTATTTGTAAGGATTCGGTGATGCATAGTGACACCTAGCTACTTTCTTCCAGATCATGCACGAAGTGCTCCAGCCCAAGTCTTCCAATCCTTGTCTGGATGCTGGATGTTCTCACTTGTGCCTTCTGAGCCCACGATCCAAGGGAAGCTGTCATTGCCCAGCTAGACTCCTGCTCGCAGATGATGGCATCACGTGTGTTCCCCTTGAGGAGTCTGCATTTCTGTTCCTTGTGCTGCCCACAGTTATCATGCAGGTACATTTCCACAGCCTTACTCACATGTCTGTGCCGGGGCCGCAGTCCATTTCAGACTGAGTAATTTGCATTCCCCACGCACAGTTATACAATAGTAGGGGTCCTTACCCTTGGAATGTTCGTTTTTAAAAAGTTTTTTTAAATGTTTATTTATTTTTGAGAGAGAGAGAGAGAGAGAGAACGAACCCAAGCAGGGGAGGGGCAGAAAGAGAGAGAGGAGACACAGAATCCAAAGCAGGCTCCAGGCTCCAAGCTGTCAGAACAGACAGAGCCTCATGTGGGGCTCAAACTCATGAGCTGCGAGATCACGACCTGAGCTGAAGTTGGATGCTTAACTGACTGAGCCACCCAGGTGCCCCTAAAGTTTTTATTCTTGAAGTAATCTCTGCATGTAATATGGGGTTTGAACTCACGACCCTGAGATCAAGAGTCTCATGCTCTCCCAACCAAGCCAGGCACGCCGCCCCCCGCCGCCCACCCGCCATTGGGATATTCTTCAAATACAATTGAAATATTAGTATTCACTGTGTGCTGGGAGCTATCATGACCAAAATAAAGAGGCTATGAGACGAAGACCACTTCTTAAGAAATAGCACATCAGAACACAGGTGAGGGATCTGAGAGTGGGATTAATCCTGCTTAGTTGTCCAAGCATCTCACCAATGGTGTGGAGTGATGCTAAATACAAGCTACTCAGCTGGGTTCTAGCCTAGTGGGGGTGGGGGCCGGGGGGAGAGTACATTTTGTGAGGGAACTTTTCTTAAATCATAGGAGGTACCAACAAACAAGTCACTTCCAGCTTCTGTCCTATAGAGAGGATTTGTCACCTTCGGTACTTTACAATGACAGATGTCGGGGTGCCCGAGTGGCTCAGTTGGTTAAGTGTTGGACTCTTGATTTCGGCTCAGGTCATGATCTCATGGTTTGTAAGATCCCCATGACAGGCCTGCTTGGGAGTCTGTCTATCTCTCTCTGCCCTTTGTGTGTGCCCACATGTACTCTTTGTCTCTCTCTCAAAGAAGCTGATGAAAATGACAAATGTTGGGGTGGAAGACTGACTTCAATTTCAGTAAGATATTAACAGCGGAGCCTCATTTATAGGGGAGGACCTTTCATATGTAAGTGTGTCCAGTCAACACCTTGGACACCTTAAACTTACACAAATGTCATAGGTCAATTATAGCTCAAAAGTTTACAAAATAAAGGGGAGGGCATTTAACAAAGGAGTACCTCTTTAAAACCTGTGGATTCAAGGATTTTTAAGTGCTTAAAGCTCCAGGAAGGGAGAAAAATAACTGCTATCTGTTTTCAGGAGATTAAGTTCAAACTCTCATATAGTCCAAGTACCGTGACATTAATCCAAAATCAAGATGAAGAATGTCACTAGATTCAGCTGGTGCCATCCACCTAATTTTTTCCCCACAGATTTATCTGAAAAATCTAGAAGCTTTACTAGGACAGTCAGCTTTACCAGAACATAGGATGCTTCCCCTTGCCACCGTGAACCGGCTTGCATCCCTGGACTACCTAGTCCAAGAAAAGGCTCTCTACCTTTCAGAGTTGGATAATGGTGATGTCAGGCTACTGAGGCTCAAAGAATCTGGGAAACTCTCTTGGAGGAAAATCCTATCTGTGGAGGGGACTGTGATAGACTTTGCTGTGGACTGGTTGAGCGGAAACATATATTGGATTGACAGTGAGAATCCCCACATCAACGTAGCTTCCTCCGAAGGTCAGTGTCCCACCATCCTGTTCCGTGAAAACCTCTATCGTCCAGCCTCTGTTGTGCTCCACCCACCCTCTGCAGTCATGTGCTTTGCGGACCTGGGTTCCCAGCGGGATGGTGAGCGTGGGTCCAGCATTGAATGTGCCTCCATGGATGGCAGCGGGAGGAAGGTGCTGTGGCAGAAATCCCAGGTCCCTGCAGGCCTGACCTTTTCGGATTCCGGGACCCGAGTGTACTGGGCTGATACCGGTAAGCTATCATAACCGATGCCCTAAATGTGAGCCTGGAGGACTTTGGCCAGAGTGAAATAGTGATGTCCTGCCTCCTGGTCTTCAGCCATGACTTCGAATAGCTATTAGGTCTGAGTTTACGTATTCTGTACCACCTTCCAAGCACACACAACGATTCCCCATTCTGAGTAGAAAGTAATGGGCCTCAGAATCATGCAGTTGCCCCTTCGTGAAGGAATAAAATTGAGAACTTAAATGTGCATGAGCAAACCTTGGTGTATCTCTGTTACAGTGGGTGAAGGAGAGCTGTCCCTCACAGAAAACGCCCAGTAGATCATCTCCTCCTGGATGGGGAGGAGGACAAGACACAAAGTGCTACAAGACAGAGTATGGCTGTTTAGGCCAAGTGAACTTAACGGAGCCTCTCTTTCTAGGGCGAGGCCTCATAGAAAGTATTCAACAAGATGGCTCTCAATACAGAATAGACCGCAGAGGAATTGAGGGCCTCAACCTCTTTGCGTATGGTCAAGGCATGATGTTCTGGATGACAGTTGATGATGGTGGGTCATATTCTACATCCGATTGTCTTTATGATCTGAATTTACTCCTGGATCTTTAAAACGAATCTGCTAATGCTTAGCATTGATCTTTGGGAGGGTCTTTCTTCTGGAAGAATAGGTAAGCAACTTCCCTAATCCGTGTATGTAACAGAGATTCTATGACTCAGGGGACGCTTTTATATGAAAAATATTATTCTTTATATATGCATAGGCTTAACCCTGTTCTGCCTGAGATTTCTGGCTTTCATTAAAAGCTCTCTGCCTTAGAGGGCTTCGTGATATAGTACAGAGAGAACTGGGCCAGGAATTGGAACCCGGTAGTGTAATTGCTGTGCTGCTCGGTAACTGTCACACCTTGCCTGTACAAGGAGGACAGCACCTGTCTCACTTGACTAAATACGCAGGAAGGTACTAAGTGAATTACAGAACATCTGTACCTCCAGGCAGTTTCTAGTATTTAAAGAGATTGTCCTAAACCACAGTGTTCTAGTATGTTGTTTCTGACGAGGGTCCAGATATGGCAACATTGGAAAACGCTATTTAAAAGCTGTCTCTTTTATAATTTCCAAATGCTGGTCCCTTGACCATCTCGGGGCTGGCCGCATCACAACTGCAAAAACAAGTTGTCAGACCCTACCCCCGAGATGCTAATTTATCAGGTAGGTAGTGAGACCTCTGCTTTCTGTTGTTAGGTCCCCTGGTGACCCTTACCGCAGAAAGCCATTTTCAGAAATGTTTGAGAACGATGTTTAAAATCATTCCCTATCATTTGCATGGGCTATATGTAAATGTCTCGTGTCCTAATTTTCTATTTTGTATATCAGGGTGTATATGAATGTGCTCAACGTAACTTGCACCTGACATTATTTTGGAGGAAGGCATAGAACTGTTTTTATTTATTTTGAATGTTCTTCCCAGAAACAAGACTTAGAAAAACACCTGTCCCTTCTGTAAAACTCTTGTTACTCAACCGGCGTTTATGCAGATGGATGACAGTTTCCATACTGAGCAATTTCTTTTGCACAGGAAGTTGTCTTAAAATTAAAATTGCTTTTCTTAAAAAAAATTTACATTTGCTGTTCTTAATGATACTTCACTGGCTTTTGTTTCAGCCCAAATCACTAAAGTTTGGTACAGCAAGGCAGAACTTTCTGAAAGCCGGTGGTTCCAAATAGACCAGAAGATTGTGGATTTAAAAGTTTACAGTAAACATGGTCAACAGGGTAAGCAAAGATTATGCCAACTTGAGGCCCGCTGTGTTCTCCCCTGGAGAGGATCCTCCATCCCATAATATCACCTCAAAATAACTTTGTGTTTCCCATTAAATTATTTCTCTGGAAAATTCGTTTTTTTTTTAATTTTTTAAAAATGTTTTATTTATTTTTGAGAGAGAGGCAGCGTGAGCAGGGGAGGGTCAGAGAGAGAGGGAGATACAGAATGTGAAGCAGGCTCCAGGCTCTGAGCTAGCTGTCAGCACAGACCCTGATGCGGGGCTCGAACCCATGAACTGTGAGATCATGACCTGGGCCGAAGTCAGATGCTCAACCGACTGAGCCACCCAGGAGCCCCTCTGGCAAATTCTTATAGATTTACATAACTCTCTTATCTTTTTGCAGTTATGTGCAGTATAGTTCTGGTATATAACTAGTCCTGTTACTTATCGAGGAGGCAAAATAGTAGTAAGTCTATTGGGCTGGGGTTTGGTATACTTGTATTCTATTGTAGATGGAATTACAACTGTGGTATCATGGAAGTTGTCTTTTATCTCTGCAGTGGAACTAACCTTTTTCTACTTGTTGTCACTTATGTCTACTTGTGATGTTAACTGACCCTTGGAATACCAACTTGGGGGTGCTCAGATGTTTTTCTCCAGTGTTTGGGTAGAGAAATGATGGGCTTAGTTAAAATAGTAATAGATAAAAGTCTTTCCCTAGTTGAGATTAACACCAAAATGTGAGCTCAAATAGTTAACCACATCTACCACTACCACGTATACTGAATATTTTGGTCTTAAGCAAATGCTGCCCCCTTGCTTTGCTTTGGAAAGCTAAACGTTATAAGCTAGTGCTAGTCATGCTGAAACTTCTGAAGGCTTTCCGGAAGGGAGACGTTTTTTAGAATTCTTCAGTGTGATTAATGGTCACCCAATTGATGATAATCTGTGGCTTAGTTCTGAGAAGCAGAAGGAGGGTCCCTGTCACTCCTGAGGCAAGTTTTATCTGCACTGTATACATACCTAGTCTACCATTTCTGGACTAGCTCAAAACAAAACCTTACTAGAAGTTAAAGATTAAGATCTAAGCCTTGCAGAACTATGATCAGCTATAAACGGCTGGCTTCTACTCAGAATCTTACAGAGGGAGAATAGACACCAAGTCTTCATGTTCTCACTAAAATAGAGCTTTATTTCTAAGGCCCTTCTAGTGTTAATGGCAGGTGCTTGCTGTGAGGGGAAAAGGAGAACTCACAAGGGGGGCTTGGATGGGCCAGAGATAAGCTCATTTTTTCTTAAGCTGGTCACTTGTCTGAACTCTTAGCCTTCTGAAAGTATCTGTATCCATGAAGAAGAATCACCAATCCATGAAGAAGAATCACCAATCACTCAGCACGTGGTTGACCAAAAGGAGTTAAACTGAACAGCTATCTACTCTGGAAAAAAACATCTGGGTCCTATAACGCTGATAGTCTATTTGTAGAATGTTGGCAGAAGACTCTTCTGAAACCATCTAAATCAATGTTTTTTTGTGGGGCTGGGGGGGGTATCCACAGGTAATAACAGCTGCTCAAAAGACAATGGAGGGTGCAGCCATATCTGTTTGCCAAACCCCGAAGGACGGACTTGTAAATGTCCCAGTGGGTACTACTTGGCTAACACAAGCAGATGTAGTGAAGCCGTCCTGTGCTCTGAGCCATCACAATCCTGTAAGGATGGTCAGAAGTGCGTTTCCATGGAGCAAGTTTGTGATGGCCATGCCGACTGTCTGGATGGATCTGATGAAATGGGCTGTGAGTAATTCCTATCCAGGACCCCACTGTTCATCACCATACATGACATACTTTTAATATTTAACAAAATAATTCTTAATATCTCAATATAATTCTTAACCTCTAATTCTGTAGTATGCCTCAAGCTTTTATCTTCTAGACCATACCCTTGTTATTACTGGCACTTTTAACCTGAACAACATAAAACTTCTGTGGGCAATTGGGTATAGATGATGTAGACCCCTTCTGGAAAGCTAATGGGTCCTCCCATTTGGTTTTAGAACAGGCAGTATGGTAGCTGCAAAGGGCTTGACAGTTTGTATGTTGTCTGAAAGAACACTCTTTCAACCTAGATTTGATTCTGTCCATTTAAATCAATCACACAGTGAGCATAGCCCAGGAGGAGGAGGATGGGCAAACAATTCGACCTGTCTTAGTTCGGCTCCCCTTTTTCAATGTGGAAATAGCACAGTCTAATTCTACGGCAGTCACTATCCTCAAATTCTACAGCTTTGGCTCCAATGGTATTCAAGGCATGTGAGTTGTAGAATTGACAAAACGGTGGGCTCAGTACTGAAACTCGCCATAACTAGTAAGAAAACAAACTGGAAAAGCAATCTCACAGCAAACAGTTCTTAGTGACTTCTCCATTTAGAGCTTCGTCTTCCTAAAAGCTGACTAGTTGGAATACTACTTATTACCCCTAATTAATTAATCTGAAATTGGAAAGTTAATAGGTTTTGCCTCCCGGAGTTGATTCTGTGGTCTAGTGAATGAGAGTGAATGAAAGCCTCCTGTTACAGGGACTCGAGCACACACATCAATGAGTGAGACATATATCGGCTTCACCGTCTGGTTTTAAAACTAAACTGGAAACCTAACATCCCCTCACCTATCTCCCCTCCTGATGACTAAGAGTTGGCTCTACTCCTCAATCAGTATTTCACTCTGACTTTCACATGAAGCTCATTCAGAGAGGATGGAGCTAGACTGGCTTCCTCTGGATAAACCCAACTGCCAAAGACCCTAAACTGCCTAAGACACAGCCGAAGGCAGAGGCAGCAGGTGGTTTTACTGCGAACACTGCCGTCTTCCCTCCCAGTAGTTTGGTCAGGTAGTTTGGTGTGGAATAATGCTTGTGCCGACAAGGATGGAGAACATGGCAAAATATCTTAAACGCAAACCCAAGTTTCAGATTGTTGGTAAGAAGCCACTCCCTCGTGCCCACCAGTGCCACCAAGTCCGGTCCAATATTTGCAGCTTGTAGATCTTGCTAAGCCAACAGTTTATGTGGACTCAAAAAAAAAAAAAATCCTATTTACTGATAAACTTACATATTAAAAATCTTTCTAGAGATTTACCACTTAGATCCACCATACTATTCCTTATAGAATAAAAATTTTTGTAACTGAGGAAGTCTACCTTGGCTAAAACTGGGCATCGTTTATAGAATGATCTAGAGACTGGTCCTGAAACCAAACATTTTAAGTGCCTTACTGTATGCATTTTTTTGTATGTTTTTACTTTTATCGTTTGTCCAATGGTAATGTTGATGAAAGATCAGACTTCTCTGGTTAAGTCTTCTAGAATTCTTGTTCTTCTGAAATAGTTCTAACTGACACATGTGTGTATATACCCACACTCCCACCTGTTTTTGTAGGTACCTCTCCAGATCAAAACCATTCAACACCAACATCGAAAAATGCAGGGGCTGGAAAACGGTGGACTCCAAAGGCTGCCCCACCTCTCCAAGCTACTGGGTCTACCAAGGCTAGGTCTCCGGGGCCAGAAGGGATGAATTACCCTCTCAGAAAAACAGTGCTCCCTCCAGTCGTTGCTAGTGAAAGCAAGACCTCAGAGACCAAGCGAAAAGGCGAGCCTGTTCAGCCCAAGGACTCCCAGAGGGCAAAACATCTGCCCTGTGGCACTGACTTCTGTAACGGGCGGGGAATCTGCACGGTGGTAGGAGAGCTGAGAAAGTGCAGCTGTCTGATGGAATACGGTGGAGAGTTCTGTGAAGAGCCGGCACGTGGACCCACCCCTGGCCACATCGCCCTCAGTGTAACCATTGCCTTTTCAGTTGTCCTGGTAGCTCTAGGAGCATTTGTCTATTTCAGAAGAGAACACAAATTAAAAAGGTGAGTAGCTATTAATGTCCTCACGGGAGAGTTTATTCCCAACAAGGCTTATAAAGTAAGATTAATGATGTTGGAGCTATGACTCCACCCTAGAAGCTTGTCCTCTGAGGAAGGATTTGGGTGATGGAGCAGCCCTCGCCTGTTAGATAACCTACAGAAAAATCACAGAGGCCATGTCTTTGAGTGAGACCTGGGGCAAATGACACCATAAGGGATAGGAGGCATCAGTGCAGGTAAGATCGCCCTCAACAGCAATTAGTGGCATCATAATCTCAGGGATGAAGTGATGGGATTCTTTACCAATGAGGCAGAATTAGTGCCAATGATTACTTGGAGGAAAATTCAGAGGTGTGTTAGTTTGCCAGGGCTGTTCTAACCAATCCCACAGACCGAGTGTCTTAATAGATTTACTTTCTTCTGGAGGCTGCAAGTGTGAGATCCATGTGTCTGTGGGGTTGGTTTCTCCTTGAATTATAGATGCAGACTGCAACCTGTGTCTTCACATGGCCTTCCCTCTGTATGAGTCTGTGTCCTAATCTCTTCTTATCAGGACACTAGTCATATTGGATTGGGGCCCAAACTAATGACCTCATTTGAACATAATTACCTCTTTAAAGACTCTCTCACCCTGAGGTACTTGAGGATTAGGACTTCAACATTTGAATTTGGCCGGGACTCAACTCGGCCCATAACAGGAGGTGAAATCAACTCCGGAAAGATATAAAGCAAACAAAAACTATTTTCTAAGAACAAGAGAGTCACGGGATTAAAGAAACAAATGAGGATAATAAAATGTTGGCACAGAGTAGGAAGGATGATGAAATTGGCTTTGGTATAGGAAGTTCTAGAAACTGAAGAAACTGATTAGGTTACACATACTGGGCTGAGACATTAAGCAGCCTGTGTATCAAGAAATATGGAGAGAAGGGAAGTTTTAAAAGTTATGTTTCTATCCAGCGCTCACATACTGAAGAGAAGGCCAGGAGAAATGATGTATCTTTGCCCAAGGTAGCACTGGTTAATAGCTTACTGATGTTAAAACGGACTGAAATTCTACCCTTGGGGTACTGATGGTCACCTCAGGTGTTTCTACCACATTAAATGGCCTTTTAAAGTTTATTTAAAATGTTTATTTAACATTTTATTTAATATTCATTTTTGAGAGGGAGAGAGCAAGCATGAGTGAGCAGGAGTCGGAGAGGGGCAGCGCGAGAGAGAGACACAGAATCTGAAGCAGGCTCCAGGCTCTGAGCCGTCAGCACGGAGCTCACTGCAGGGCCCCAGGGCCTTGAACCCATGAACCCTGAGATCATGACCTGAGTCAAAGTTGGACCCTTAACCGACTGAGCTCTCCAGGTGCTCCATTAATCCGCTTTCTTAACTCACCTATGTCCGATCTCTCATTGACCCCAGTTAGCTAGTTTCCCCCAGTTGAGAAGATGTATTATTTTGGAAATGAAGTGAATACCTAGTAACAAATCGTAATTGACTCAAGTATTGTCCATTCTAGGTCATTTGATTCATTCAAAAGAAAAAAGAGAACATCATTCCCATAACGATCGCATTTGATAGGGGTTGAGTTGACCTTTCTAACCATACCGATCCCAGATCCCAGCTTCAGTCTCAAGGTACAACTCTGATGACTCGGTTTCTTTGATTTTTTAGAAATAATGCAGCAGCATCAAGAAATCTGAGCCGCCGTAAGGAAAATGGCCAAGAAGAGGAGAATCTAATGAATAGTGAGACTTTTGTCAATGAAGCCTATGATGAGCAGGTATGGCTGGGAAGTGTCTTTGAGGAAAACAGATTGTGGGATACAGTGAAAGGAGTTCCCTTTTGAAAAATCCCAGCTGGGCAAAAGTCAGCAGAGTTAAGTTACAGAGCTCTTTGTAATTGGTGAACGATGCCATTATGTGTGTCAAATGGATGTCCAGTCACTTGTTTATCTTTAGACTCTGTTCAATCTCTACTTCAAACCGAAGTGAAATGTGCATAAAATCATGATCAAGGCATTTAGCTTTGGGTGAACTTCCATGGGGCTCAGTTGTATGGTGGGACAGGGGGGTCATTAGGGCTAGCTGGAGTTATCCCTAAAATGTGCATCCCTCTGTGATCTCTGCTGACATCTTGGTTGCTCAACCATCTCTGTGTTTTGCTTTGTTTTAACATAGTGTGTATTTAGGGGTGCCTGGCTGGCTCAGTCAGCGTAACATGTGACTCCTGATCTCAAGGTCATGAGTTCAAGCCCCACATTGGGTGTAGAACTTACTTAAAAATAATTCATTAAAAATATATTATTAAGGGACACCTGGCTGGCTCAGTCGGTGGAGCATGTGACTCTTGACCTCGGGGATGTGAGTTTGACACGTTGGGTGCAGAGATTACTTAAAAATAAAATGTTAACCCCCTCACCTCCCCCCACAAAACTATTGCAGTGGGCATTCTTTTAACTTCAAGTCTCTTTTCCAACAGGAACTGTTAACGTTACAAACTGACTAACCTGATAAAAAAGGAGCTGAAACATCTCAATAAAAATGGTTTATACATCGTACTGTGTGCTGTTTTAACGTCTGCAACTTACTGTAACTGTGTGCTAAAATGGTAACTTATTAAAATAACTGCTTTTTAAAATTGGAAGAGTTCATCCGGTTCTCTTAGTGGGTGTTGGCAGACTGCTCAGCGGGGAGGGTGGCCATGAGTATGAGCCCCAAGTAATTTAGGTTATGGTTTGTTCACAGAAACTTTCTAACCCCAGTGTGCGTGGCCCAGTGCTAGTCAGAGGTTCTGAATTTGAATCTTTGCTCTGTCACTAACTTTGAGGTGTAGTTTAATTGCTCTGAACTGGTTTCTCAGTCTTGCAAAAGAAAATGATCTCTCTTGAATCTTTACCTTTCAGGTAAAGGTGAAGTTTCTGTAGTGTAGCAAGTGTTCAAGTATTCGTTCTTTATCACTCTCTCTGATACTTGCAAGGTTAGTATTTGCTTTTGTTGAAAATTTATAAAAACAGTGTTGCTTTTAATGCTCTCATTTGATTCTAGAACCAAGTACAGTCGACTCTTGAACGACACACCTTTGAACTGCACGTGTCCACTTATGTGCAGATTTTTCGATAAGTACAATATCGTGAATGTGTTTTCTCTTACGATGTTCTTAGTAACACTTTCTTTTCTCTAGCTTATTTTATTGTCAGGATACAGCATAAAACATAACATACAAAATATGTTAATTGACTGTTATGGGTAAGGCTTCTGATCAACAGGAGGCTGCTAAGTTTTGAGGGAGTCCAGTTATATGTGGACTGTCTACTGCAGGGGGTGGACACCCCAACATCTGTTTGCTCACAGATCAACTGTACAGGTGAATCTACTTTACTGATGTAGAAACTCAGCCAAACAATTTGTCCAAGACTTCTTGAAGTAAAGTGGGTAGACACTGGGGGCCTCAACACAGAGTAGCAGGTGTGGACCGGGATGCATCTCAAGGAGCTAGCTCTTGCCTGCCCGGGAAACATGTAAATGCTACCTAGATCCCAAAGTCTCTTGCCTTCCAGGTGACCTCTTCCTTCACACTCATGTAAGGAATCAAGGACACTGGATCAGTGATGGGAGACAGGGAACTGGAGTATTATCTAAAACTCAGTAGCAACCTTGGGCCAATCACTTAATCATGAAGCTGTTTTCTCAGTGATAACAAGGGGATTAACAGAACCTATCTCAGGCCAATCAAGCATCGCATGAAAATACAAAAATGCCTGTACACTTGAGACTGAGAACATATTTATTTCGTTTAGTTTCTTGCAGAATGAGTTTGTACAGGCTACCAAGCAGAAAGAGCAGTCTTAGGCTTATTACTGTGAGTATGGTACATAAAAGAAACTGTGCTTTGCAGTCAAGTATAAAAATTCCCTGAAATACTTGACCAAATAAACAACCGCTGTGGGCTCCGCCTTTCCTGGTCCTGGGAGACACACAGAGCCGCATCATGTTGATCAGGCACTTAGCTGTATTTGACAAAAACCATTTCAGCACCAAAGTGTCTGAGACCCCTCTCATCCACAGAGGGAAGCTTAGGTTTCTCTTGCTACCTCACCCAAGAACCATCTCACTGCCAAGTTAGCCCTTGGCAAGGCTCTGCCTCTCTACGTGTGCAAACGTGAGTAAATATGACACATGAGAATCTGGCTTGAAACCAAGCACGAATGACCTAGAGCAGGATTAACACTTTGTCTGGACACACTTCAGCCCTCGCCTTCATCTCCTTTGGACCTTCAGCCTCCATGGGACTTCCAAGCTTGTGTTCTGGCCAGCTCTGTCTACTTCCCACTTCTCCAAGCTGTCTGCTAGAATGTTACTTCCGCCCCCACCTTCTAATCTGAAGGCCTCACTTCCGGGTTAGCCCCCAGACACTACCGCCATTTCCTCCTCTTGGGGAAAAGCATTGCTGACTACAGCCAAATCTGTGTGTCCGTGTATGCACCCCTTCTCTCCACCTTCTGCCCCGGCTTAGTTATGTCTTTTTCTAAGTACTATTCCACTCAAATCTAATTTAACACATCCTGTTATGCTTTCCCTATTCAAGAATTTACAAAACACATCTGAATGTCCTTTTCACCGGAAAGACTTAAGTACAATTTTGTTTTAATATTTTGATGTTTATTTATTTCTGAGAGACAAGAGTGTGAGCGGGGGAAGGGTGAGAGAGGGAGACACAGCATCGGAAGCAGGCTCCAGGCTCTGAGCTGTCAGCACAGAGTCCGACCCCGGGCTCAAACCCACAAACTGTGAGATCATGACATGAGCCAAAGTCGGAGGCTTACCCGACTGAGCCACCCAGGTGCCCCTTAAGTATAAATGTTAAGTACCCATTCACAAAGTGAACAATTCCTAACCAGCCCTATCCCCCAAAATGGCTTTTAAATATCAGTTTCATAATTGTACCTGTTTGGAGCAATGGCATGTTAACTCTAAGAGCCTTCTTTTGTGATGATCTCTACAGTAGGTGTTAATTGCTTAATTTTTCTCGACCTAAAGTGATGGAGCAGTAAACCCCATGGCAGATGCAAAATTTGAATTTCCTTATGAAAATTCAACATCTATAATCTGGTGGGAGGTTTGGGTTTTCTTCTGGAGACACAAGGAGCTTTACAAAAGTTAATTGGTTCCTGCTTTAGATTCAAAGAGCCCTATGCAAAACTTGACCTTTTATCTTTATAGTGAGCAATTAAGTTAAACCCTATATACTCACTCTCTTTAGGAAATAAATGGGGGATCATTGATAATGGGAGGGATGCACCAAGTTCCTACTAGTTTAACTGCTGAAAGGCTTCCGAAATTTCTAGAAACCAAGAACTAGACCATGGAGTTTGTTGCCATCAGGCCAGTTCCTAAATTTACAGGTCAATGAGCTTCCTCAGCTCTCACTATTCACTTAGTTTTCTCCTCTTCACCGCATCGAATTCTTCCCCTTCACTCTCAAGATACTAAATGTAGAAAGGCCCCCTGATCACATCTAATCCAGTCTTCTGTTGTACAGACAAGAGAGCTGAAGTCCAGCAAGGGCAGGGCTTATGCTATTAGGAAGTGTATCCCACCCCCCCAATCCTAGTAAACTGCAGGGACCCTCAGCCCTGTGATGAGTGGCATCTCTTTGGGGCACTGACATGATGGGGAACCAAGGTGGTTGTGGGAAAGCGGTGGCGGCTGCGTTGAATGGCAGAGGTGCTCCTTGCCTGTGAGTTGCCCCCCCCCTCCCCCGGGCCCTGCCCAGCTCCCCCCATCCCTGTCGGGACCTCATGCTGGTCTATGAATGTGGCTGTGATGAGGGAGCATAAGCAAGCTGAGGGCCAAGCACAAGCTAGCACACCTGCTCCCCCCCATCAATTTAGAGGTAAAACAGGGAAGTACGCCAAGAAAATGACACACTTGAACATGTGTCATGATGTGTTCAAACAGGACACCTTGAAGCTGATGGGAGAAAGCTTCATTTCGGGTGTGACGGGTCAGGGGGAAGTAACATGGGAAAACGCAGCCCTTGACCAAACCTTGGGATTTAAGCTGAGAGTGGATGACACATAAGGAACATCCCAAGGCTTTTAAGGATTTGATTGTAAGGTCTTCAATTTAAGAAGGTGGGATTGAAGATATGGGGGTGAGATCCATCACATCTGGGGACGGGATGTGATTCGAATTTCTCTCTCAGCCTACTGCATTGTGGGCTGTCTATATCCACCAACATCCACCAACAGAACAGGATGCTCCTCACTAGTTAGTCACAAATCCAACTGTTTGTATTTGATTCTGATCACGTTCCGTGAGTGCAGAGCCCGACGTGGGGCTCGAACTCACGAAACATGAGTTCTTGATTTGAGCCGAAAGCAAGAGTCAGCCGCTGAACCCACTGAGCCACCCAGCACCCCTTGATTCTGACAACGTTCTGTGAACGGAAGGCTGAGTTTGTTCCAGACTGTATTCCCTCCTAGAGAAGCGATTAGCCCGACAACGGGGAGAGGGCAGGATTTCCCAAGCCTTGCTCAAAGGTACCTCCAGCTTCTTCCTGTCCCTGGCAGATTATTCCAGAAGGAGGTGGAAGCAAACCACCCTGGTGCCCGGACTGCTGCTCCATCACTGTTCTCTGGGCCTGCAATGCTCCCCTCTCCCGTCTTTCCATTCTCTGTTCAAGCATCACCCCCTTCCCAGCCACCTTTCCTAAAACCCTACCCTCATTTCTCCCCAAGCCCTTGGCTCTGGCCCGTTATTCTTCATTTTCCTTGCACACAGCTCTCCTGCCAGAGTGTGTAAGTTCCACAACGGCAGAGCCTGGGACGGTTGTTTTCCAAAGTGTCCACAAATGTGCCGACAAAATGACAGGCATCCCCGAATCTACTGAGTTGGACGATCTGCGCAGGGAAGAGGAAGGTGGTTTGCGGGGCTTCGCTGACCGCCCCTCCTACAGCCTCCGCGAGCGCTCGCCAGCTTGTGCGTGTGCTGCAAACCTCGCCTCTCCTTAGCGACGACGTGCTTCTAGCTCCGAGCCCGCTGGAGAACAGGAAGAGCAGTGTCCGCTCCACTTCACAGATCCCTCGCCCTCCAGGCATAACTCGAGTAGCCTGGAGAAGACTTGGCCCATTAACTGGGGACACAGCCTTTGTATGTGAGTGGGATTATTGAGAACAAGCTGTGTTGGCACATGGTGGGGGGAGGGCTTGAGGCAGAGCGGCCTTGCCGTTCCCCATCAGTGTCTTCCCTGCAGGGAGATTGCCTGGCTCATCCATAGGAAGTTTAGGAGAAGTTCATGCCCACAACAGCCACTCCTGAGGCTCCAGCCTGGTCCAGCGGCTTGAGTGTCAAAGCCATTGTCTGTGCACAGAATGACCCGTGTGCCCAACAGATCCCAGCCTGATGCGGGAATGCCTTTCCGGGCTGTCTTGAATATTTTTATAGCAAAAGCCAGTTTGCTTTTTTTTTTTTTTTTTTAAGGGAGTTTTGGTTTCATTTCTGTTGCTAGGGCAAAAACGGAGCTCTAATTCTTGACAACAAAGTCTTAATCAGCAGAGGGGAACTGTTTTGAATATTAGCCACAGGAGAATAACTGGGCAGGGAGGAAAAGTAAAAACATACAAAAGGCTAGTTTTGTTTCCACCCGGGCTTCCCTAAGAAATAGTTGGAATTATTACGCAGGCAGGATTCAGTGAGTTCAATACTTGCTAGAAACCCAGCGTCTTTAAGGTTTGTTGTCTGCTGGGTCCTGATTTCCCAGGCCCCGAATCCCTGCCTTTTGAGGTGTCAGCTGAGAAAGCAGTGTTGCCTTTTCTCTACCTGGCTCTGTTCCCTGGAGCAAGTGCCCTGGGTCTCCTAGGGGGCAGGCTCCCAAAGGTCTGATTCTGTGCCGCCAGTTGGGACTGACTGCAATTTGAGCGGGGCATACATAGTCCCAAAGAAAGAAAGCCTTTGCAGCCCTGAGTGCGGGCCTCCGACCATCAGCTCTGGCACCTCCTGGGAGTTCCTTAGGAAATCCGTTCCAGGCCTCACTCCAGACCTACTCAATGAGAATCTGCATTTGAAAGAGGTCACCAAATGATAAGCCTACACTTTAAGGTCCCTGGCAGAAAAGAAACAGGTCGGGGCACCTGGGTGGCTCAGTCAGTTAAGTGTCCGACTTCGGCTCAGGTCATGATCTCATGGTTCATGGGTTCGAGCCCCGCATCGATTCTGTGTCTCCCTCTCTCTCTCTGACCCTCCCCTGCTCGCTCGCTCTCTCTCAGAAATAAATTAAAAAAAAAAAAAAAAGAAACAGGTGATTCTTGTACAGAATGGCAAAGGAAGAGAATCTAGATTATCCTTTCCACTGCTAATAAGCAGCAGGTGGTTCTTAGTTACTTGCGCTATAGCTTTCTGTTATCAGTGCTTTACCGAGCTGAACGTTCCTACCTCTGAACTGGCTGCCAAGGGCAGGTTTTAAAGATGAGATCTGGCTCGGGGAAAGGCACCCTTAAATCAACAGCTTGAAATGAGAGCTGGAGAGCTGGCCCTGCTGGGGATTTAGTTCCCCTCTCGGTGGAACTTGTAACTGCCTACCTGTGATTATAGGCACCACTGTTACAAGAGGAAAAGATTTCCTGTCTCACTTCATGCTGCCTGCCTCTGGTTTTAGGTACTGCTGTTATAGGAGGAAAAGATTTCTAGTCTCACTTTGTGTTGGAAACTGGTGCTTCTAGTTTTTTCAACAATAGACCCGGCTTTGCCCAGAAAACGGCAGGAACCTGAAAATAAAGCAATCAGGGATTTAAGGGGGGCCCACTGGCTCCTTTTTACTAATCTTATGCTAAGAGGGGCTAAGATCCGAGTGCTAGATTTCAGAAACAGTGCCGAAGCAGCCAGGAGATTGTTAGCAATGAATGATTCAACTCCCAAAGGTTGTACTAGAGACCGAAAAGCTTGTGGGAGCATACTGAAGCTCTTGTTTTCAGATTTTATTCATAAATAAGAAAGCTATGCCCTTGTTCTTTAATCCAATGTGATTAACAGATTCCACTGGGTACCAAATATTTAATTTAGGGTCCTCTACTTCCAGGGTGAGGTAGTCACGGAATAGAGCAGTGGAAGAAGGTTAGTCTGTTCAGTCCCACCTTTCTAGTACAGAATCTCTGCACTGGCCCCAAAATTCACACCAAGAAAAAAAAAAGATAAATCCTATGTATACAATCCTATGTATACTTGAAGAAATGTAAATATGACTTAAGCAAGTTATTCCACAAAAGCTGCGTATTTGCATGGCTCTACATTTATTTTAAGAGCTTCATTCAAACACAGCCAGTATATTGGTCTGTTGAGAGCTTGCGTGAGAATAAATTATACAGCAGAAAAAAATTATATTCACGTAAGGTTCACTGGCATTTCCGGATACTGCTTCGAGGCGTTCACATAGCTTTGGGGCCTGTTTGCTGATTTTGATTTGTTGTTATCGTCCCGTGTCAACACGATGCGAAAGCACCCTTTCTATATCTCCTTCAACTTAAAGTGTGAAAACGCCGTCAGTCTAGAAGAGGACCCTGACCCCTCTGGGGAAGAAGACCAAACTCGACAAAAAGAAAACCAAACGAAACCTGAACCAGTCGTCCAAGGAGTCTAGCTTGGCCACAAGAGAGGAAGATCACCCTCCAAACCAGTTACAGGAACGTGTCCGGGGTTCGGACTCTGAGCCAAGTGTTTCCGGCTGCAAGGTAACAGCCGGGTTCAAGGCTGGACGTGGTGGGGCGAGTCCGAGCCTGGTCAGAGCGGGCGGTGGGCGGAGGGCCGCCGCCTACAGGTCAGAGTCGCAGGGCAGCGAGTCTCCGCAGCGCCGGGTGCTGGGCAGGGAGGAGTCGGGGGAGTCGGCGCCCTCGCCGCGGAGCGCGTCGACCGGGTTGGCGTAGGCGCTGGGCCGCGGCCGCGGCATGGGGAAGCCGACCCTGGGCTTGGCGGCGGCGCCGAGCTCGGCGGGCCGCGGCAGGTGGCGGCCGTCGCTGTAGTACCTGATGGCGGGCGCGAGCGCGGGCTCGGGCCAGTCCACGTGCACGGTGCTGACGCTGCTGCGGCGCGGGGTGCCCGGGGGCGCCTTGCGGCAGCCGCGGCAGCGCTCCTCGCACCAGGGCGCGAAGCTGAGCGCCAGCGAGGAGCCGCCCAGCAGCAGCAGGCAGCCGCCCAGGTAGCCCAGCACCAGGCTGTAGCCGACGTGCACCGTGACCGGGCTGGCTTCGGCGGGCAGGACGGCGCGGTCATCCAAGAAGTGGTTGTACCAGGACACCGGGATGAGGCTGAGGAGGCCGGCGGCGAAGAGCACCACGCCCGAGAGGCCGGCCAGCGCGAAGCGCGGCCGCTCCTGCCAGCAGCGCACGCCGAGCGCCGCCAGCAGCAGCCCCAGGGCCGTGACGGCCAGCGACGCGGGCATGAGTCCCCGCGCCACGGCCACGGGCTGGGCCTGGAAGTAGCCCCACTCGTCGGTCTGGCCGCACTGGCGCTCGAGGCTGGCCTGCTCGCGGCAGATGTCCCACAGGCCCTGGTACAGCTCCAAGTCCACGGGCTGGTCGAGGAAGCCCTTCACCAGCCTCCAGCCCGGCGCCAGCGTGGCCGTCAGGTTGAGCAGCAGCCCGCAGGGCGCGAGCACCATGCCCAGCGTCATCACCACCGGCGTCCGCATCCCGGAGCCCGCACCTGCCGCCTTCGCCGCCCCGCGCCCCCGGCTGCGGCCCCCGAAGTGAGCGCGGGCGCCCCGCTCCTTCGCGTGCGCCCTTTGTCTCCGGCGCCCGACCGTCCCCACCCCGCCGCTCGCCTCGCTTCCCTCCGCGCGTCCCGGCCGCTCCGGCCTCCCCCGTCCGGCCGCCGTCCCCAATCGAAACCAGCTCGCGGGCGGGTCTGACCGAAACCGAGGGCCGAGGCGCGGACGCCTCGAGGCGGCCGCCGCGGCCAAGCCGGACCCGGTGGGAGGGGCGGAGCGAGGCGCGAGCCGGGGGCGGCGGGGAGCCTCGCGCGCGGCGGGTCCCGGGCGGCGCCGACACCCCGCCCCGCAGCCGGAGTCTCCGGGGACGGAGCAAAGGTCGCCCCGCCCCTGCTCGTCGCGCGGCTCCGCGGCCCCGCCGGCCGAGCGCGGGGGAGGGACGAGGCGGCGCCGCCCGGACGGGTTTGCCCGAGTTTCCCCCGTCCCCGCCCGGGGGCCCTGCGCAGCCAGCCTCCCCGCGCTCCGCTCCCGGCGCGGTCCGAGGTCCGCTCCAAGTTTTGCGCTGTTGGCTTTGGGGCGCTGGAGGCCGAGCGGGCGGCGCCACCGCTCCCTGCGCCTCCGGAGATGCGCCAGCAGGTGTGCGAGGAGGGTCCCCCGGGCGACTGGCGCGTCCGGAGGCCTCGCTTCCTTTGCTCAATGAAACTTGTTTCGTGTGCTTAGTAAAAGCATCATACCCCGGTTTCAGTCTGACTCAAAAGAATCAAAGCGAGTGTGTTTCTGGGATTAGAGTTTCCAAAGGATGATGACGACGAAGAAGATGATGGTGATGATGATGGTGATGAGTTTTAGCCCCGTGGAAGATTTTGAAGAAGCCAAGAAAGGAAAGGGTGTTACTAAGTGTCCTAACACACTTCTCGATTGTATCTAACCGTATAGGGTTCTGTGTCCGTTGTCTTTGAGCTACTTTGTACCTCTGTGAACTGTAGAAAGCCTACACAGTACTGCCAATGACTTTTGTTCATAGAAATGCAAATGAGTTCGTGTCCATAGAACCAAAGTGATTATTGCCCAGTGGATACTGACCAATTTGTAAATTCATATTAGCTGATTACCTGTCAACATACTTGGTCCCTCATTAATAATGAATTAAATAAAATCTTAGGCACCTGTTCATTTTATATTTGTGAGTCATGATCTTACATTTTTCTAAAATTATTAATATTTTTCTCACTTCCCATATTTCTTACAATGAAAGTGCACTGCCTTTATAATTGGTTAAAATTAAAACTATGTACTCTTAAAAATCAAATCAAAATCAAAACAGTTTTGAACATTCTAAAGTGGATAATACTATGGAAAGGAATCATTACTTATGCCTTAAATTTTTTTTAGGGGCATCTGGATGGCTCAGTGGGTTAAGCGGCTGACCCTTGGTTTGGGCTCAGGTCATGATCTCCTGGTTCATGAGACTGAGCCCCAAGTGAGGCTCTGCACTGACAGTGAGGAGCCTGCTTGGGATTCTCTCTCCCTCTCTCTTTCCCTCTCCCCTGCTCTCTCTCTCAAAATAAGTTGTGGCAAAATATACATGGCATAGAATTTACCATCTTAACTATTTTTACGTAAACAGCTATCGGCATTAAGCTCATTCATATTGTTGTGCTGCTCTTACCAGCATCCATCTTTTGAGCTTTTTCATCTTCCCATCTTCCCACACTGAAACTCTACCCATTAACCAATAACTCCCCATCTCACCACCACTCCTCAGGTTTCCAGCCCCGGCAACCACTATCCCACTTTCTGTCCCTGTGAATTCGTGTACTAGAGATACTTCATATAAGTGAAATCATACAGTATTTATGACTGGCTCATTTCACTTAGGATAATGCCCTCACGATTCATCCACGTTGTCGCATGTATCAGAATTTCCTTCCTTTGTGTGGCTGAATAATATTGCACTGTATATACGTGCCCCACTTGGTTTATCTGTTCATCCTTTGATGCAGTGTGATTGCTCCCACCTTCTAAGTTGCTCTAAGGGTGATTAGAAGACATTACAGAGCCTTGAGTCAAAAAGTCACACTCCAGAATCTGTACACTTCAGCTGTCTTCAGCTATTTACCTATGTTTGTCTCCAATCAGAGACTTTGATAATGAACACAATACCTGTTATTAATACTCTTTTGCTGGTTAAGTCAATCCTGTCTGAGATTTGTGATTTGGCTAGAAATACCAGCAAGGCATTCTTGCCCCTCCAGATAGAGGGTGTTAGACTCAGGACACCAAATACCTGCAAGAATACTGCCCCTGCCTTGATTTCGACATGTACACACTCTTGTGAAACGATCACCATAATCAAGATGGTCAACATACCCATTACCTACAGTTTCTTTCTGCCCTTCATAATCTTCCCTCTCATCTCCACCTGCCACCCCTATCACCAGGCAACCACTGATCTGCTTTCTGTCACTATAGATTGGTTTGCATTTTCTAGAGTTTTGTGTAAGTGGAGTCCTATAATAAAGGCCACATACAAGAGAATATCGGCACATCGCCCATGGCCCGGCAGCTCCATAATTTGTGTGAACTGAGGGTCACCTGGGACCATGACTTAGGGAAAATACAAAGATTCCCACTGAATGAACTCCCCTGGCTAGTGCGATGGCATTTGTGTGCTTACAAGCCCCACGGAATTCTTAGTCTTAGGGAAGTATAGGACACAAAGCCAGTGTGGCCAAAAAGAAAACCAACTCTCCCCTCCCCCTGAAACTACAGATGAAATCTGTTTCAACTCTGAGAGGACATTTTTGCTTTTGAATGCATTTCACAGCTTGCCTTCACCTTGGAACCTAACTTTTTGTGGTTTAGGACAACAGAGAGACTTCATAAAGACGTTATGGGATATGAATCTGCTTCTCATGTAGATTGCTGTGTGGACTGAATGAAGTCCAGGCTGCGTGACTGGGGAAGACCAGAATCTGGCATGTTCTGCCTCCTATATCTGTGTGTACCTGTCTCCTGCCCTTCCTTTGCTCCTCCGTTCCCACTGTCTCTACCTAAGTCTATGACATTCTCCCATCTTCTCTTAAACTGGCTTCTAACTGGTTTGCGACACCCAGGCTTTCTCTTCCCCCCATTTTTCTTAGCCACACAGGCCCTCAGAGCTGCTATTGTAAAACTGAAACTGAATCTTGTGCCTACATTAACCCCTTTTATGGCCGTCTACAGCCCAGCCCCAGCTACCCACTCCCGCCCATCTCCCTTCCCCCCACCTCCTTCTCACACCACTACCCCCCAAAACTGGATTCCCCCCATTCTTTTCCAAAGCATTGTGTTGCCTTTTGTCCTTGATCTTTGCATATGCTCTTTTCTTTCCCCAGAGTCCTGCCTGCCCTTTCCTGACCCCAAGGTACCCTTCAGATCTTTGTTAAATGCTATTTTCCCTGGGAAGGCTTCTCAGTCTCCTGGATTGAATTAACTTTTCTTACTGGGTCTTGCCATCCACCCTCTTCCAGTATAGCACCTGCCACAATTCCTCATTACTTGAATCACCTGGTTGTCTAGCTAGGTCGTAAATTCCTTCAGGGCAGGGGTCATGTTCCTCGTGTTCTGTTCTGCCCTGAAATCTGTCTTAGGGTCTGGCTACAGTAGCCACTTAACAAATCAATTGTATCTCCTTCCGCCCTGCATTCTTCCACACGCATCCACAGCCTTCTCTTACAGATGACCGTCTGGCCAAAACAGGCTGTCAATGCATCTCAGGAAAGAAATTTGCTTGTTTGCTGTTTTCAACAAAGAAAACAAGGAAATCTAGGATAGCTCCAGAGACTTACGACAGTGAAGTGTAGCCCTGTGGGGGTAACTTTCTATGGCAGTAAGAGAAAGAAATGATTGCCTGTAGTGTAGCATCTGATTATAGACCTGAGCTCTTTGTTCTGTGGGCTTCAAAGTTCATCGTAAGGCTGAGCGAGAAACAAAACACGAATCATAGCATGGCAGGAATGAATTATTGCTAAGATTAGTACATGTCAGTGTACGCTGATCCCTAGACCCTATAATAGCTTTCTTTTTTGAAGATGGGCCCTATGGTAAGACAAGACTCTATTTACAGTGTCCTAGGTTTCCAGATGAATAGTGAGTTCCCAGCCACTAACTTTAAAGGGACTGAGGCTAGGTCCTCTGTCAGCCTTCACAGACTGGCTCACAGATAACACCTGGTACGAAATTCCAGTCTTCCGCAGTGACCTTATCTTGGAAGTCACGTTATAGATTCCCGCAGGCCAAGAGGTTCCCACCTCTCAGGAGGTGTCCTCAGAGTCCCTACACAAGGTCCTTATATCTTACTATCCACAGACAAAGGCCCTAAACACCGTCACTAGTCTTTCAGTGGTCAACCCACTTCGGCAGGTTAGAGACTGAAAAATAACTGATAAAAAATTAAGTTATGAAACAGCCTGAACTGAGTCCCTTTGATACTAGCATCAGCTTACCTCATTGGCAAATAGCCCGAAGGTGGTTTTTCTAGCCTTTGTGCCCAATGTTGTAGAAAAAGAATAATAATAATAACTTTTGGTATTTAATTTAAAGTAGTGCCTAGTGAGCTCAGTATCACATCACCCTGATTTATTTTCTTTATGGAACTTATCACTATTAATTAATTTATGTATTGACCTGTTTATAGTCTGTGTTTCTCCCATTGCACTGGAGGATCCAAACACTAGGAACCTTGCTGCATTTGTTTGTGGCTGTATCTCGACACTTAGAATAGTGCCTCGCTCATAGTAGGTCTCAATAAACGTGTACTGCATAGATGAAAGAAGTTTCGTAAAACTTCCACACAATAACACATAAGTTACAGCATGTCACTTTAAAAAAATCTATGAATTTGACTACTCTGTGCAACGTGGGAATTTCATAACCGATTTATTTCTCTTAGCATAGTGTCCCCAAGGTTCATCCTTGTTGTAGCATGTCAGGATTTTCTTTCTTTTTATTTATTTTTTAACTTTTATTTATTTTTGGTGGGGGAGGAGAGCGCGAGCAAGTGTGAGTGGGGGAGGGGCAGAGAGAGAGAGAGAGAGAGAGAGAGAGAGAGTGAGGCAGAGAGAGAATCCCAAGCTGGGCCTGATTTGGGGCTTGATCTCATGAATTGCCAGATCACAGTCTGAGTGGAAATTAAGACACACATACTTAACTGATGGAGCCACCCAGGTGCCCCCAGAATGTTCTTTCTTTTTAAAAGCTGAGTAATACTTCATTTTATGTATATTCTACCTTCTGTTTATCCAGTCATCTGTCATTGGACACTTGGGTTGTGTCTACCTTTTGGCTTTTGTGAATAATGCTCCTATGATGGTATATCACTTCTAATTTATCTTATTTCATCCTGTATGGTGATTGCCTGTCTAAAGCAAGAATTGGGGGCCCTGGGTGGCTTAGTTGGTTAAGCGTCTCACTTTTAATTTTGGCTCTGGTCGTGATCTCAGATCAAGCCCCACATTCCGACCTGTGCTGGGCATGGAGCCTGCTTGGAATTCTGTCTCTCCCTATCTGCCCCTCCCCTGCTCGTGGTCTCTCTCACAAAAACAAGCAAACAAACAAAAACAAGAATCTATTTGCCTTCCCTCTCATACATATCAGAAGGCATCATGGGGTATCATGCCACTTAGAAAAAAAAGCTTGTTTGAGTTTCATCTTCTAAAGGCCTCAGACCCTTCTTGGCTTAGCATCAGGATGCTGCTTTACAAAGATGAGGCTGCGTGGTGGGGGTGGGGTGTTCCCAGGACCCAGCCACTCTCTGCTATCTTACATAGCCTACTTCTCCTCAACCCTGTCCATTCCTGTCTCCTGCAGAGCCAAACGTTTTTGCCATGCCATGGATTAGGTCCCTGTAGGTGTGTGAGATGGTTTTCTTTTTGAGATTGGGTATTTTTTTATTTACAAGTTCGTGTATGTGTGCAAATGTGTGTGTGTGCATGTGCAAAAATTTATACTGCATCGTAACCATGGCAGACTCCTAATTGGAAAAACCAAGAACTATGATGAGAGTAATGCTTTCCAAATTAATGTAAAGGTTCAATGCAAATCCAATAACAAGTAATGCTAAGACTGAATAGGTAATTTCAAAGCTCATTTGGAAATAAAAATGAACGAAATATGTTAAATCTCTGGGAAGAGCAGAATGTAAAAGGTGTGAACACTGGCCGTTACATGTGCTATTAAGTATAATTAATAATTCAAACGTGAATGTAGTACTAGAATAGGAAGATGGATTAATAAAATAGTCAAGGGGCGCCTGTGTGGCTCACTCAGTTAAGCGTCCGACTTCAGCTCAGGTCATGATCTTATGGTTGGTGAGTTTGAGCCCAGCATCGGGCTCTGTGCTGACAGCTCAGAGCCTGGAGCCTGCTTTGGATTCTGTGTCTTCCTCTCTCTCTGCCCCTCCCCCACGCACATTCTCTTTCTCTCTGTCTCAAGATAAATCAACATTAAAATGTTTTTAAAAATAAAGTATAAAATGTAGTAAAAAACAGTCCTAGTTATATATAAACTTATAGGCTGATAAAGTGGGATTTCAACTTGTAGAGAAAGGCATGAAAATTCAGTTGTGTTGTGGCAACTTCTGAGCTTTGGGAGAAGAAAAAAAAGTCTCTGCATCACAAAATACGTAGAGAACCGAGGAAAACAAGTCTCGGTGGACCATATTGTTACATAAAAAAAGGAATCCTGAAAGAAGTGGGAGGGAGTTGAGAGGAAGGTAAATTTATAGGCTGTGGAAAGGCTTTCTAAGCAAAACGTCAAGGATGGCAGTTATAGAGAAAGAGCTTGGTAGGCTTAACTACGGAAGCTTCACATTTTAATGTTAGTAATGCGTCAAAATTTGGACAAATTTTTTCAGCTTTTGTGGCAGAAGAGTAGTTGATATTTCATGTCTATAGGGCAAACCAATAGGAACACTTAATATCACAGTGAAAAATGGGCAAGAAAATGCACAGTCATAGAAGAAAATAAACATCTATTAAGTACTGTTAAAGGTGATCAATTAGGGGCACCTGAGTGGCTCAGTTGTGTGAGCGTCTGACTCTTGATTTTGGCCCAAGGTCATGATCTCTTGGTTGTGGCATCGGTCTCTGCGCTGAGTGTGAAGTGCTCACGCGTTCTCTCTCTCTAAAAAATAAAATAATATAAGAGTTAAAAAGAGATTGGGGCGCCTGGGTGGCTTAGTCGGTTGAGCGTCCGACTTTCGCTTAGGTCATGATCTCGCGGTTCGTGGGTTCGAGCCCCGCATCGGGCTCTGTGCTGACTGCCAGCTCAGAGCCTGGAGCCTGTTTCAGAGTCTGTGACTCCCTCTCTCTCTGACCCTCCCCTGCTCACACTGTCTCTCTCTCTCTCTCCTAGAAATAAAAAAAAAATAAAAAAATAAACATTAAAAAAAAAAGAGTTAAAAAGTGATCAATTAAATGACTCTTTTATTCACATAAATCCAAAACTAAACATGGGGGGCAATTTTCTCTTCTTTAAAAAAAAAAAATGTAATGTTTATTTTTGAAGGAGAGTGAGACAGTACACGAGCCGGGGAGGGACAGAGAGAGAGACTGAGGAAGACACAGAATCTGAAGCAGGCTCCAGGCTCTGAGCTGTCAGCGCAGACCATGACACGGGGCTTGAACCCACAAACCATGAGACCATGACCTGAGCCGAAGTCGGATGCTTAACCGACTGAGCCGCCCGGGTGCCTCCAGTTTTCTCTTCTTGAACTGGAAATGTTAAGGGGGTAAAATGCTATCCAATCTTGGGTAGAGTTGGGGGAAAAGTCATTACCGGAGGGAAGGTAAATAGTGAATTTATTGTAGAGGTGATGTTGCAGTTTGCCTTAGATATGTGTTGTCTCAATGATTTATCAATTAACATTCTAGGTATTTGCCCCAAGGAAATAAACTGAGGATGTGGAAAGATTTAGCTATAAGGATGTCCACTGTACTGCCCTTTATAATAAACACATAATAAAATCGAATTGCAATATGAAACCAATTAGGTTAAAAATATATATGTGTGTATTGGAAAATGGTAGAAGGAGATACACTAAAATGTTAGCTGTTCTTGAAGTGGTGTGATTTACTATTGCTTTTATTTTCTTTGAGATTTTATAAATTTTCAAAACTTCCTTTCTGTAGAATTTTTTATTCTATTTTATTTTTTAAATTTTAAAAAAGTTTATTTATTTTGAAAGGGATAGAGCACGAGCCAAAAAGAGGCAGAGAGAGGGAGAGAGAGGATCCCAAGCAGGCTCCGCACTGCCAGCACAGAGCCCAACAGGAGGCTAGAACCCACGAACCATGAGGTCTTGACCTGAGCAGAAACCAAGAGTCTGATACTCAACCAACTGAGCCACCCAGATGCCCCAACCCAATTTGAAAAACTCAACTTTTGCAAGTGTACAGTGTTGTTTCTCCATTTTTCTGATGTTAAAAGTCAAGTTACATATTCTTCTGACACAAATATCTCTTCCATAAGTGTGAATGTACCATCTTTTAAAATGGCCACAACTAGGCCTATGCTTATGTGAAAAATAAAGCTGAATTCTATTGTCATGTAATGTTGAGTTGCTCCCAGAAATGCACGCACAAGAAATGATATGCGCTTATTTCAGGAAGAAAATTGGGTGCTATTTTTCTATATTTCCAAGTATTTTTCAAGTTTAAGCATGATATAGAAGCACTCTTTACATAATGACAAACAGCAAGGGCAAAATTCAACACTTAAATCAGTCATGAGCCTCAGAATTTACATCTGATCTTCACTTTGAACTTGCAGGACATGTTTGGTAACTATAGTGTAGACAGGTAAGCAGAATGACCATCTATTCCATTTTCTTATTTTTACATTATTTCTTCCTTTGTAAGGTTATTTTTAATAATATCATGTCCATAATTGTAGTAAATGCTGTATACTTATAAATATTAAGAAACATATTCTCTGTATTTCTTCCTGGACCTCTGAATACACTTTCTTATGGTTGCTAAGCAAAGAGTACAACTCTGTGAATGACCCAATGTTGTGTTTACCACATTATGTTATGTCTGAATACGTGTGGGAAATGCCTTAAACCTAGTAACAGGCAAAACTTATATATTGCTAGTCCCTAAACTTCAATTAGGCAGTTTGAATTAGGTTAAAGGGGAAGTTTTAGCCTAAAGATATCAAAACTATAGTGCCTTTAAAAGGAACTATTGCCCCATCACGTAGGATTTAATTTACTGGAACAAAGTAAAAGTTAATACATTTGGCAAGCTCTCTTGTCTAAACAGAGGCACATTTCTGTTCTCTGCCGCTCATTGCTGAAAGGAGAGAACAGCAATGAGGAGGAAAGTTCTTTGTCCTGTCTTGCTCCTTTTCACAGTTATGTTTCACATCAACAGACGGAGCTGGGGTGAATTTCACTGAAGCGACGAATGTGAGGAACACAGGGGCTATGTATCACTGACATCTGGACAGTGAATTCACACGCACACGCAGAAAGGTGTATTGCTTCTGGTTTGTGTGGGATTTGGCTAGTCCAGGGGCTAGAAGATGAATGTCCTAACATGGAGCAATTTCGGAGCATGAGCTTCTGAGAAAGGCCATTTTCTCAACAGGCTCACTCCTCCACCTCCATGTTGTAGAAGCCATTCAAAACAGAACCTGTTAAACTCGTAAAACTTGTCAGTTGTTTGTGAAGTTTGATGCCATCAGTCAGGCATTTTACCAGCTTTTCGGTTCACCTGGATCAATAACTACACATAATGTTAACAATGGAGCAGGCGCAATTAAGCTCCCGCCCCGGACAAAACCCAAGTTGGGAAATGGACAAGCCTTACCATGGTGGGTCCAAAGACACACTTGCTGCACTGGAAGGACCATGACAAGGTGGGCTCCGAACTTCTTATTTTCCTGATGTGAACTGAGAGGTGTGGAGAGGAGAAGCGACTTTCAGACCCGTAGAGCGAAGGTATTTGGCACCAGCTTTGACACAGAATGGACGTGAGTGTTAAGTCTGGTCTGCCGCACCTTGTTTGCCTCTGGGAACGTTCGGCTCTCAGAATCTTAACTTTTTTTTCCAAGTATAAAATGGAGCAAATTAGTTTCTACTCAACCAGATTGTTAAAAAGATGAGTGAGTTAACTAACCTTTATAAAATAGGTAACATATAGTAGGCAGCTTAAAAGAGTATTTTTTATTAACATCGACGAAGGTACATTAATTGATATCTGAGCGATCTTGGAGTTTGAGCCCCAATATGCTCCTTACCTAGTGTTTCCAAAATATAATAAAGAAGGGAAGCTGCAGGGCTCCAGAGCATAGCAGAGAGGGAGTGCTGTGTTCATAGTGATGACGTGGTAGTGGCTTGAAACAAAAGGTAGTTTTCAGGTATATCGAGATCTCTGCAGCCATGGAATATAAAGTAAAGAGCCAACATGTGATGTGATGCGGTGGCACTGAAACAAGTGTGTCTAGCGGCGCCTGGGTGGCTCAGTCAGTTGAGTGTCTGACTTCAGCTCAGGTCATGATCTTGCAGCTCGTGAGTTCGGGCCCCTCCTCAGGCTCTGTGCTGATAGCTCAGAGCCTGGAGTCTGCTTCAGATCCTATGTCTCCCTCTCTCTCTGCCCTTCTCCCTGCTCAAGCTCTAAAATGAATACATGTTTAAAATATTTTTCAAATAATAAAAATATTTTTTCCTTGGTCACTGAAAATGTAGAACATTTATAAAGTAGAATGTTGCTATATACGTGTAAATTCTAAATCAGAATAATACTTTGTTGAGGCGATACGAGATAGAGTCAGTATAATGAGGAAGACAGTGAATCAAAAGGAAATGAGCCCATCAGAATTGGGATCTTTCTGCATGATCCCTAGAAGGTCAGCCAGTTGATGCTCTATGCCATTATCAACCCCCAGCCACATGTTTTTTTGTGCTTTTGATTTAAATGTATTTAAAATTTCTGGGACATTTGATTTTATTAGAGTGCAATTTATGAACAATACTCATCATGACATCACTTGGCTGCCGGCTCTGCTGTAAATAACAGACTTAATTAATTGGGAAATGCACTCCTGCTTTTGCTGGGGGAATGTGTGCCGATCGCTGCGGGAGGAGGCTGACTGGGGCTTAGTCAGCTGGAAGGCTCCCAAGGAGGTAATGACTTAGGACTCAATCCTGGCTGTGCCACTTGTGGGTCACAGCACCTGTAAAACGCTGCTTATTGTGGAAGCAATAAAACTCCCCTCCTGGAGGCAAGAGTTCTTATCTATAAATGGTTAGGAGAAGAGGGAGTTCCTGAAGAAAGACCTATAAAGTATAAAGTATTTGAATTCTGAACTGCTTGATAAGGGAGGCAAAAGTAAGGGAGGTCATTGGTAAGAAATGACATCCTGTGGACAGATTTGGCTACTCTGAAATCCACTTGTAGACTTTAGAGAATTTGACCACGTGTTTTACATTTACATGTAATTAAACTGAATTAACATATAGCATGATTTCTATCTTAAAGATTGAAAGTACTGAATCAGTGGGCCTTCGCTGCATAAAGAGTGTATCAAACATCCGTGGCTTACAACAACAGTAACATTATTATTATTATTTCTTTTCATTCTGTGGCTTGGCTGGGTAGTACTTCTGTGGGGTGCCCACACAGCCTGGCCTCTCCTTAGGGTCTCTCGGCATCTGGGAGGCTGCCCGGGGCACTCCACGTGTGGTTCTGGGGTTCTAGCAGCAAGAGGGAGTGGCCTAATGCACTAGTGTTCTGCAAGTCTCTGCTCGCTTTTGTCAAGTCACACGGTCAAGGCCAGAGTGAGTGTGGGAAGGGATTGTCCAGGGCATGGATAGAGAGATGAGAACAAACTGGGGCCTTTGCTGCAACCATCTCTTGCAGGTATGTCCAGTTATCTTTGAATAAGCCTATCAAAATATTTAGAAATATTTATAACCAAAGAGTAGACTTCATCTAGATTGGTGTGGTACAACAGAGGCATCGTAACTATGTATGTACACGGGTATTTATACACACAACAGTAATTTAAAATGCTCTAGGGCCGCCTGGGTGGCTTAGTCGGTTAAGCGTCCGACTTTCGCTTAGGTCATGATCTCGCGGTTCGTGGGTTCGAGCCCCGCGTCGGGCTCTGTGCTGACTGCCAGCTCAGAGCCTGGAGCCTGTTTCAGAGTCTGTGTCTCCCTCTCTCTCTGACCCTCCCCTGCTCACGCTGTCTCTCTCTCTCCTAGAAATAAATAAAACATTCAAAAAAAATTAAAATGCTCTAGTAGTCACATTAAAAAGAAGTAGACAGGAGCGCCTGGGTGGCTCCGTCAGTGAAGTGTTGGACTTTGGCTCAGGTCATGGTCTCCCAGTCTGTGAGTTTGAGCCCCACATCAGGCTCCAGAGCCTGAAGCCTTCTCTGGATTTTGTTTCTGCCTCTCTCTCTGTTGCTTTCCTGCTTTCGCACTCTGTCTCTCTGTCAAAAATAAATACATATTTAAAACTTTAAAGAAAGTAAACAGAAACAAGTAAAATCAACCTTAATACCTCTATTTAACCAAGTACATTCAAAATAGTATCATTTCAACATGTACTCAATGTAAAAATTATTAACGGGAGATTTTACATTTGTGTGTGTGCGCGCGCTAAACCTTCATAATGTAATGCATGTTTTCACTTACAGCACAGCTCCGCTCAGGACGCCCCATTCCAAGCACTCATCGCTTTGTGTGCTCGTCACCACTGTGCCTTTGGGCAGCACAGAAGTAGATGTTAACAGATGAGGAAGAGGGAGAAGTGGGGCTGGAACGGCTGAGATTAACGGACAGTCGGCCCTCCCAACCGCACGCACGCGCACGCGCGCACACCGCTGGCAGCAGAGGGCGGGGCACGGAGAGAGGAGCCTGGTGTAAGAAAGGCAATGAATGCTATGCAGCAGGAAATCTACTGATACAATCCACTCTATTAATGAATCAAAAGAGAACAAATAATCCTACTAGAAGATTCCTTTTTGTTACCACCAACATGTATTACTAACTGCACAGCGAACACTCTTAGTGAAATAAAAGAGATTTCCCTCAGTGGTAAAGAATATCTGCTTAAATCAGGAGTGAACATAAGTGGTGACATGGCAGAAGCATTCCCAATAAGCTCAGAACTCGTTTTCAACATTGACCTGGAAGAGCTAAGCAATGAAATTAGGTTAAGAACCTAAATTGGAGCGCAGATGTGTTCTCAGAGGAAGAGAAGAGAAGAGAAGAGGAAAAAAAAAAAAAAAAGAAGAAGAAGAGAGAAAAAGAAGTTAAAAGAAAAATGGTCCCATTCTCTGTTCACAGTAGTGGCAACAACAAAATTAACTTAATAGGATCTCTGTGATGTTGCAGTGGATTAAAAATGACAGACGGGGTGCCTGGTTGACAGAATTTAGGGAGTATGTGACTCTCGATCTCAGGGTTGTAAATTCAAGCCCACTCCGGGTATAGAGATTAAAAATAAATCTTTTTTTAAAATGTTTATTTATTTTTGAGTGAGAGAGAGAGAGAGAGAGCATGAGCAGCAAGGGGCAGAGTGAGAGGGAGACACAGAATCCCAAGCAGACACAGGGCTTGAACCCACAGACTGTGAGATCATGACCTGAGCCTAAGTCCCACGCTTAACCGACTGAGTCACCCAAGTGCCCCTAAAAATAAAATGTTTAAAAAAAAATGAGTACAAAATTTTTGCCACTTTGTCCACAAGAGGTAGAGTCTAAGCTCTCTTTCATGTTGACTAGTCTTGGTCATATGACTTGTCTTGGCCCATGGGACACCAGCATGGAGGACATAAGAGAGACTTGATGAGTGCTTGTTCAGTGGAGCTTGTCCAAGTAAGTACAGTGGATGGCGGCTGAGAGGAGACCTGGGAGAGAGCCGAGGCACCTAGCTAGCACCAAGGCCGCTGAAATGTGAGTGGGCCCTTCTTGGCCTTTCCATCCGGGCCAGTTGAATGCAGTTGCATGAGTGAGCTCAGCCAAGACTGCTAATCAAACTGTAGTCAAAGAATCGATAGTCAATCATTCATTCTTGGAGCGGTTTCTTACGTGGCAATAATTCACTGATGTCCAAGAACACGTCCCTGGAATCCTAGAATTGTAGTTATTTTAGAAATGATTTCATTGTATTTTCTTATGACAAAGGGGTACTGGAAGCTAAGATTAGGGAGGTCAGTGAGGGGTGACAGCAGCAGGGCTGTGTCCAGAAATTGTTTCCATTAATGCGTTACTGTATTCATTCTTTCACTGCACATTCATGAGTGCTTGCTGAGCCTAGTGCTCGTGACGGAAAGACACACTGGCTCCATTTAGAGAAAGAGATAAAATTATGAGTAAACAGTTATGACACAGAGACAGAAATACTGCACGGAGTGCCACTTCTGGGGATATGCGGTGAGCACGGAAGGGTCACAGACATGCGTTTGCTCTGGGTCATAAAGGGTTAGTAAGACCTTGTGTGAGCCAGAGAAGGTTGGGGAAGGACATTCCAGGCAGAGACAGAGGGAACAAAGGCCCAGAAACAGCTTCCGGCAAGCCTGTTCTAGGAAAAGGGGAGCGCTCTCCAGCCCGCTCTTAGGACTTGATTTGGTTCACCTTTTGCTTGTTGCGGATCTTGTTCTTCCAATCCATTTTGGATTGACTTCCCCCAAAGAATCCTAATTGCAGCTAAGTCTTCACCCTCCTTTAGGCAGAAAGCTCCAGCTAGGGCCTGCAGAGTTAAAAGGACAACTCTTGTTAATATTTTGGTAAGGGGTTCAGGAGTTATACTTGGTCTCCTTTCTGCTGTTGTCTCTGCAATATGACATCACTTTCACTTCTGATTAATTTTATCCTAATGGACAGGTGAACGTAATTCCCAACATGACTTGTGGAGATAATCTGCCCTTGGGAAATGAGCAGATTGATTTCCTTCTGGGCAGAAGATGGGAGAAGAGAACCTTATAAATTCCCCCCATCTGCTTCCCCCCATACTCCCCTTTGTCATCAAAGCATGCCCTTGAACTTCCTTGCAGTGTATCTGAATATCATTTTTTGGAATGTGGCCCAGGGTCAAGTGGTTCTCATTGTCTAGATATGTAACTAAGGAAATGTGTTTCCTGGGAGTTTTAAAATTCCAATCTATAGTCTAGCTATTCTGTTTATTCTTGCGGATAAAAGAGAAAATGTATCAAACATTGTTTTTATTTTTACTTACCTACATCCTCATTCAGAAGTTGAACTGTTGACAGTATCAAGGAAATCAGGTTCTTTTCTGAGCGCCTGACAAATTACTAGTTCCTGATGAATACGGAAATAAATGGCTTTTTTTTTTTTTTCAAGGCTACATTGTACGATTCCAGTGCTTAAAGTCATATTGGACAGAATGTCATGTCAAGCCACTTGAAAATAAAGAAGGACCTGACATCATCTCGTCTCATTTTGTGAGCTCAACGTATGTACCCACTGTTCCACATACTTTATGCTTCTCATTTCAGTGACTATTTCCTTATTCATTCAGTTTGTTTCCATGCTTGTCACTTTAAAATGATGTTCTCTTGCTTCTTGGACTTTCTTGAGTGGCATAATCCACCCCAGGCCACCACCATCCTGAGACACACACATTCATTCTGTCTGGTACTGCATGGGGTCTTACTTACCACGCAGGGTGGTGAGCCCCCTTCCTAGATGGGAGTGGACAGGTGATGGCCTGAGGGAAGCCAGCGAGAGGACACACAGTGAACTGGTCCTTGAAAGAGGAGGCTTCAGGCAGATGGAGGGTAGAAAGGGTGCCAGGCAGAGGAACTGGTAGGTGCAAAACCACGGAGTGTTTCTTGAGAATCAGCAAATGTGTGTTTGTATAAATGTGTGCGTGTGTGATCTCAGGACCACCAGCAGCAGCATGGCTGGGTGAATGGTGAAGGCCATGTCCAAGAGTTAGGATGGGGACTCGACTCCTGGGTGTTGGTGAAGGAAGATGGCCAGGGATTATAGATACTAGCAGGGATGAATTTGCCTTTGGAGACTTTGGAAGTTAAAAAAAAAAAAAAGATTCTATATGCTCAACATCATTTATCATCAGGAGATGCAAACCAAACTACTGTGAGATATCACCTCATACCTGTCATAATGGCTAAAATAAAAAAATACAGGGGCACCTGGGGGGCTCTCTTGGTAAAGCAACTGACTTCAGCTCAGGTCATGATCTTGAGGTTCATGGGTTCAAGCCCCATTTGGGCTCTGTGCTGACAGCTCAGAGCCTGGAGCCTGCTTAGGATTTTGTGTCTCCCTCTCTCTCTGCCCTTTCACTGCTTGTGCTCTGTCTCTGTCTTTGTCTCTCTCTCAAAAATAAATAAAAATTTAAAAATAATAAAATAAAAAAAACAACTGTTGGCGAGGATGTGGGGAAAAAGGAAGCCTCTTGCACTGTTGGTGGGAATGCAAACTGGTGCTGCCACTGTGGAAAACAGTATGGAGGGTCCTCAAAATGTTAGAAAATAGAGCTACCCAGTAATTCAGTAATTGCACTGCTGGGTATTGACCAAACAATACAAAAACACTAATTCAAAGGATTACATGCACCTCTACATTTATAGCAACATTATTTACAATAGCCAAATTGTAGAAGCAGCCCAAGTGTCCACTGAGAAATGAATGGATAAAGAAGAGGTGGTGCGGAGTGCCTGAGTGGCTCAGTCGTTAAGCATCCAACTTCAGGTCAGGTCATGATCTCACGGTTTGTGGGTTTGAGTCTCGCATTGGGCTCTGTGCTGACTGCCAGCTCAGAGCCTGGAGCCTGTTTCAGATTCTGTATCTCCCTCTCTCTCTGACTCTCCCCTGCTCACTCTGTCTCCCTCTCTCCCAGAAATAAATAAAACATTAAAAAAAATTAAAAAAAAAAAAGAAGAGGTGGTGTATATATACAAGGGAATATTATTCAACCATAAAAAAGAATGAAATCTTGCCACTTGCAACAACGTGGATGGACCCAGAGAGTACAATGCTGCGTAAAATAATCAGTCAGAGAAAGACAAATACCATATGATTTCACTCTTATGTGGAATTTAAGAAACAAAACAAAGAAAGAAAAAAGAGACAAACCAAAGAACAGACTGTTAACAAGAGAACAAAGTGATGGTTACCAGAGAGAAGGGGGGTTAGGGGATGTGAAATAGGTGATGGAGATGAAGAGTACACTTATCAGATGAGCACACTGAGAAGTGCAGAGCATTCTTGGAGCCTGCGTTATACACCAGAAACTAATATAACACTGTATGTTAACTATATTGGACCTAAAATTAAAAAAATTAAAATGAATTAAAATGAATGACAAAAAAGTCATCCATAGATGACTCAGAGATCTGACACGGATCAGAGTGAGATGTGAGGCGTTTTGTTCAAGCCAGCTCCATCTCTCCATAGGTCTGCCAGCATTTTCAGACTTTTTTCACCTATTTGGGTGACCTCGCTGTCTGCTTCTAATCTCCTAGATTCTTAGTGTTGCTTTCTGTATACAACAATAAGAATTGCAACTTTTTTTGAGACTAAAATTGTACTGTTCTAAAATTTAAGGGGAAATGGGATAAAATATAAGGTCAATCCACTTGCACATGAAAGTAACTGACATAACAGTACTTTTTGTTTTGAAAAGTACAGAGCTCTCAGTTTTCCTGTCTCCCATGCTCTGTTTTTACCTTTATACCCAGAGCTTGTATGTATGCACTTCTTTTCCCTCTCTCAATGCTCTTTTCCCGTATGGGACACTTTTCCCATCTGCACTCTGCAGGTTTGGTCTACTACCACCTCTGAGAGGCAGTGGGACAGAA